TTCATTTGCATTCAAATTATGATTTTTCTCATTTAATAATCTCAGTTTTGTCTCATTTCACTAAGATACTAAGCCTTAACTGTGCTCAATTTGCAATAGGCTGAGCTCTTGGTCATGATAAACTATGTAGTTTATTTCCTAATTAATGACACTATTCATACTGTTAATGTTGCAGAAGTTAACAAATCTCTGAACTTACATGACCAGGAAAACTACAGATCCATATTATATTAGAATCTGTATTTAACAAAATAAAAATTATGTTACATGAGGAAATAAAGCAATATGATGTGTATTTTGCCTATAGCATTGCAATTTTCAAAACTTTGACTACTACAATTTTTGTTGCAAAGAAAAATTTAAGATTATTTCCCTTCTCTCAAATGCCTTCATTCTAGGAAACTTGTAGTACAGAATCTATGGATCCATAATGACATTCACATATCTAGAAATTACTTAGCAAGCATCTATCTGACTCTGTACAAGCTATAGGTGTTATGAAGTTGAAAAACACAATTTTTGCTTGTTAGAAGTTTATATTATTGTTAGAAAACAGCAATAACAGATAACTGTCTCACCCTGTATCTCATCTGTTGATGCCTGATCATGTTGGTGATGTGGGAAAAATGTGGACGCCCCCTATACAGTTATCCTCTTCCTCCAGAATTCCAACTTTCTGGAACTCAAACTAAAGGATTCTTCTCAGAATATTCCACCTGCCTCTTACTTTTGTGTTTCCTTCTTTTCTTCGTCCTCAGCATATAGTAACTTATATACTTTGGGCCATGATAGAGTCTTTGAAACCTATAATTTCCCGTCAGAATTTTTCTTACAAACTTGTTCCTGCTCATGAAATCAAAAGCCAGAATTTTATTGCCTATTTCTCTGGTTCTCTTAGAATGATTCACCATTTGTGGTATAAACAAAGCAAAGGAAGAAAATTAAAAAAAAAAAAACACACACATAAGTTAAAACTTCATAAGTTTATAGTGAATAATGCCAAACCCATTAACTTATGTTTCCCATAAGACTATAAATCTGTTATAAAATTATCTTTTTGTGTGGATGTTATATGTCTATGTCCATTAGTTCACATATATTCAATCAAGTACTCCAGCACTCTTGGTTGATAAGATTTATTTCTCCACTGAATTGCCTTTGCCATTTATTTTTATTTTTATTTTTTTGGTGGGGATCAATGTGTCAATGGTTTTTATTTATTTATTTTTACAATCAATATTTTTTATTATGATATTGTGGGGTACAGTTAAGGGTTAGGTATACAAATATGCTTCATTCAGGCACCCTTGTTGATAAGAGGTGACTTCCCATCCCCAGACAGATGTTTACTACCATTAATCCCATCTCCCTTCCTCTCCCCACCCCCATAGTTTCCCACCACTATGTCATTTTCTTATGGTAATACGTTGGATGATCAAGGTCCACTATATGAGTGAGAACATGTGATACTCAGATCTTTGTTTCTGTGAGAGGTCACTCAGTATTATAGACTATAGTTCCATCTAGGTTGCTGCGAAATTCATGATTTTGTTCTTTTTTATGGTTACATAGTATTCCATCATGTATATGTACCACATTTTTTTAATCCAGTCCTCTTTTACCGGACAGCATGGTTGCTTCCAGGTTCTTGCTATTGTGAACAATGCTGCAATAAACATTCGTGTGCAGGTATCTTTTTGATAGAGGGATTTGTGATCTTCAGGGTATATTCCCAAAAGAAGGATTGCAGGGCCATATGGGAGGTTGATATTTAGAGATTTTAGGAATCGTCACACTGCTTTCCACAGAGGTTGAACTAGTTTACACTCCCACCAACAGTGTAGAAGTGTTTCCTTTTCACCACACCCTCTCCAGCAACTGTTATTTTTTAAATTATTGATAATTGCCATTCTGACTGGAGTTAGGTGGTATCTCAGTGTAGTTTTGATTTGCATCTCGCTGATGATTAGTGAGGTTGAACATTTCTTCATGTGTCTGTTGGCTACTCAGATGTCTTCCTTTGTGAAGTATCTGTTCATATCTTTTGCTCAATTTATAATGGGGTTGTTTGCTTTTTTCTTTTCAGAGCATTTGAGTTCCTTGTAGATCCAAAATGTTAAACCTTTGTCAGACCTGGAGTTGGCAAATACTTTTTCCCAGTCTGTAGGCTGTCTCCCTGCTCTCTTGATAGTTTCTTTGGCATTGCAGAAGCTTGTCAGTTTAATGAGGTCCCAGTTGTCTGTCTTCTCTCTTATGGCCTGTGGGTTTGGGTTTTGTTCAGGAATTGAATGCCAGTTCCAATTTCCATGAGGGTACGTCCTTCATTTTCTAAGGTTCTTATGGTTTGAGGTTTTACATTTAGGTCTCTGATCCATTTGGAGTTAATTTTTGTGTATGGGGATAGATAGGGGTCCTGTTTCAATCTTCTGTATGTGGTCAGCCAGTTTTCCCAGCACCAGTTACTGAATAGGTTCTCCTCTCCCCAGTGGTAGGTGGTGAGGGCTTTGTCGAAGATGAGTTGGTTGAGAAATTGGGGTTTTGCTTCTGGAATCTCAATTCTGTTCCATTGATCTATATGCCTGTTCCTGTACCAATACCAAACTGTTTTGATGATTGTAGCTTTATAGTAAAGTTTGAAGTCTAGTAATGTGATACCACCTGCTTTTTTTTTTATTGTTGTTGTTTTGTTTTTGCTGAGGATTGTTCTCGCTATTCTTGGCTGTTTGTGTTTCCATATGACTGACTGTGTTGTTTTTTCTAGGTCTGAGAAGAATGTTGCTGGTAATTTGACGGGTATTGCATTAAATCTGTAGATTGCCTTAGGTAAGATGGACATCTTCACAATGTTGATTCTTCCAATCCATGAACATGGGATATTTTTCTACTTGTTTGTGTCATCTTTGATTTCTTTGATCAATGTTTTGTAGTTTTCATTGTAAAGGTCTTTCACGTTTCTGGTTAGGAAGATGCCAAGGTATTTCATTTTTTTTTGTGGCTATTGTGAATGGAATTGTGTTTTTTATTTGGGTTTCTGTTTGTTTATTATTGGTATAAAGAAATGCAATTGTCTTTTACACATTTATTTTATATCCTGAGACTTTGCCAAAGGCCTTTAGCAGTCTAAGCAGGTTTTTGACAGATTCTCCTGGGTTTTCAAGGTACACGATCTTGACTTCCTCTTTTCCTATTTGAATATCCCTGATTGCCTTCTCTTTTCTGATTGCTGTGGCCAGGACTTCCAATACTATATTGAACAGGAGGGGTGAGAGTGGGCATCCTTGTCTTGTTCCTGTTTTCAGGGGAAATGTTTCCAGTTTTTGTCCTTTTAGGACTATGCTGTCTGTGGGTTTCTCATAGATGGCTTTTACTATTTTGAGGTATGTTTGCCGTATGCCTAGATATTTGAGGGTTTTCATCAAGAAGGGGTGCTGGATTTTATCAAAAACTTTTTCTGCATCTAATGATATAATTATGTTGTTTTTCTTTTGATATCTGTTGATGTATTTAATTACATTTATGGTTTTACGAATGTTGAACCACTCTTGCATCCCACAAATGCTTGCTTTGCATGTAATATTCCAAAGTCACACAAAATAAATAAATTGCAGAAGTTGGAGAAAAAGTAAATCAACAGTTTACAAAGAGTGAAATTGAGAATTGAAAATATTGCAGATGTTAACAAATCTCCGAACTTACATGACCAGGAAAACTACAGATTCATTTTATATTAGAACCTGTATTTAAGAAAATAAAAATTATGTCACATGATGAAATAAAGCAATGTGATGTCTTTTGCCTATAAGATTGCAATTTTCAAAACCTTGGCTACTACAATTTTTGTTGCAAAGATAAAAATTAAGATTATATATATAATATGATTTTGCCTCCAAATGGCTTAAGACCACTAGAATGCTCTTTCTTTACTCTAGGTCCCATCACGCCTTAAAAATCAGTGGTGTAGCACTGACCCATGCCAAAATCACTTTCCACTACCAAGCATTTCTCTGAATTCTTCATGGTTTCATCACCCAACTTAACATCCCCTTAACATCCTTCTCTTCTAGAGTATAGCAGCCACAGTGTGTTTTGTCACTTCAGTCATTCTCTCTAGCTCACCCAATCCTCACCACTCTGCCCTGAGTTCCCAATCTGCTTTATGAACATCCAGACTGGAAATGAGTAAAACATTTTCAAAACTTTCTCTGCCCACTTTTCTTAACTGAAAACTGGCTCTTTTCAGAGGAAAATATTTTCCCTGCAAACATCAACACAATAGGTTTTCCTTTATGCTTTATAGTTTGCGTTGCAGTTCTCACAATTCTTGTTTTAGAAGTTAGTATAGATCTCCTTCTTGCTCCTTGATGGTACTTCCATAACATTTCTTCTGTTTTTAGTTAAACAACCATAAACATGGTGAGAAAAACTGAGAAACATTTTTTCTATATTCTGTATTGCACATTATAGGATATTCTTCTCTTCCTGTCTTCGTTTTTTCTTCTTTCTTTTTCTTTTCTTCCCTTCCCGTCCCTTTCCTTCCGGTCCTCCTCCTTTCTTTTTGTTTCTACCAAACAGATCTCTCCCTATAATTCTGGTAAATGATGGCAATTGACTCTCGGGCTTCTTCTCTACCTGAAAACATGGCATGGCTCTCAGACAACCACATATCTGTATGAATATACATTGACAAACCCCATCCAAGCTGTTTCTTCTTCTTTACACCAGTAATGGGCACAGATTCCTATGAGGATACTTCATTTTTGTTGACAAAAGAAATATTACTTAAAAATAAGAAGTTAAAACATCTCAAGCATTTCTTTTTGATCAGCTATTTCTCTTGACATTCTTTCAATCACCATTTTCTCTCATTTTCACTCTCCTCCTCATCTGGCAGACATTCTTTGGTCCATACTTGATGATAAATTTCCAAACACCCAGACCTGGCTACTTCCTCCTTCATTCTGTCATATTGACTATAAAAACTGCTTCCCAGCTTGGGCCTGCCAGTGGACACTAATACCACCATGGACCTGTTGTTCGGGTGCTGGAAGACTCCAGAAGAGCTGCTGAGACAGAACTAGAGAGCTCTGAACTGCACCATGAGGGAGCTGGACCGAGAACAACAGAAGCTAGAGACCCAGGAGAAGAAAATCATTGCAGACATCAAGAAGATGGCCAAGCAGGGCCAGATGGATGCTGTGCACATCATGGCAAAAGACCTAGTGCGCACTAGGCGCTATGTACGCAACTTTGTTTTGATGTGGGCCAATATCCAGGCTGTGTAGCTCAAGATTCAGACGCTCAAGTTCAGCAACTCAATGACTCAAGCCATGAAGGGTGTCACTAAGGCCATGGGCACAATGAACAGACAGCTAAAATTGCTCCAGATCCAGAAGATCATGATGGAATTTGAGCAGCAGGCAGAGATCATGGACATGAAGGAGGAAATGATGAATGATGCCACTGATGATGCCATGGGTGATGAGGAAGATGAAGAGGAGAGTGATGCTGTTGTATCCCAGGTCTTGGATGAGCTGGGACTGAGCCTGACAGATGAGCTGTCCAACCTCCCCTCTACTGGAGGCTCACTCAGTGTAGCTGCTGGTGAGACAAAACCAGAAGCTGCAGCCTCAGCCCTGGCTGATGCTGATGCAGACCCGGAGGAGCGACTCAAGAACCTACGGAGAGTGCCACTTGGGAGTGCAGGGACCAGTGGATGTCTGGAACCTTTACCATAATCACTCTGTAATTAAAGAGACTGGACACTAAAAAACAAAACAAAGCAGAACAAACAAACAAAAACCAGAAAGTTTTCTGATTCTTCTTCTGTCTTTCAATCTTACAATGATATTACTGTATTTTTAGTGGGGGACAAAAAGGCATTTTTTTTTAAGATTAACATACCAATTATAAATAAGTTTGAGCTATAAAGATTCAGTTTGGTTTTACAGAATTATAATTCAATATATTTTAGTCACTATATATGTGTGTATATATTCATTTAAATTAATGTAAAAAGCATAATAACTAAATAAGAGAAAATTCTAGAGTTGTGGGAATTACAAACTTACTGTATAGTACAATTTGCAATGTCAGTTAACAGAACAAAATAGGTCTTTAAATGACTCTATAAATAAATATCTTCAATGTTGATTTACAAGCATTAAGCAAACAAATCAATTGAATTTCAGTTAACTATATGAAGTTAAGAATGCTAGTATTTCAAATGAGGAGTTGCTTATATAAATGTAGTGGCTAACTTTGATTAATTTTGTTTGTTTGTTTTCTAATAATTACTTCACTGCTTTATAATTCATAAAATTATGTTGTCTCATGGTTACCTCCCCTTCCCCACCATTTATTTCTCTCTATAGCCAATTCTCACAAGCACATACATAATTATATATTGAAAAATTCTAAGCCATAACAAGTGTAAGAATATTAGACTATACACATGAGTTTTCAAAAATGCTCTAGATTGGCTAATTTGTCAAACAGTCACACTGCTTTTCTATTTGCAGAACTCAGCTAAAACGTATGCAAATGGAAATCATCCATTTTCATGAATTAATAACAAATGTAATGTGACCTCTTAGTGTTGACTACTCCTCCTCCTCATCACCTATCATCCTTATGTATTTCAAAGTTTGAAAAATAAATTCCATTTGATTCACAGAGCTGACATTACAAGAGCATAAATAAAGTCTGCAGTAGAATAGAAATAAACCACAGTAAGCCTCAATCCTAGTCTGTAAGACTAATCTTTCTGCTTGTACTGTCTGCCATTTTCCAGTGGCTATTTTTTAAGGGAAGCACTGTCTTCAGAGATCACTATTAGGATGCACAGAAAATATTTAGACTTTAGATAATATGACATGCTTATTAACATGTTTTAATATGACTTTAGATGATATAACATGCTTTTCAGCATATATTAATTGACAATATATGCAAAACACTGCCAAGTATGCATACATAAAACCTGATATAATAGTAGAAAAGTTTACATATTTTGAAAATCATCTATTTGCTAATTCTTTCATTCATTAACTTAACAAAATTGTGAATTCATATATGCCATTGGTCTATGCTGTGCTGACACCAAAATTAAAAGCCATGAATTCTGCTTTTAAAGGTTAACAATCTCTACTGAAAGACAGAGAATGATGCTTGTGACACAAATAATAATCATCCCAACAAAAATAAAGGTAAAGCATTTAGTGGATGCTTTTATTGTGTTAAGCATGGTTTGTTAAATCTTTATAGTAGTCCTTGAATTTAGATACAATTATTAACCTCATATCTCACAGAAGGAAATTGAGGAACAAAAATATATACATAACAGAAATTTATGACTGCAGAATGACAAATGTGAAGCTGAATATAATTCACATAGAATTTTCAAAATGCACCCTCAATACCCTCAATATGCATATCCTAACAAGGTGCCACTAGAATGCATTAAGAACAAACTACCACAAAAGTTTTTGGTGAAGGAAGATAAGACAGGACATATTCTCTGAACTGTCATAAAGTACGAGAGTTAACGAAGGAAGAAACTGAGGAAACACTCCTGGGTTGAGGAAACAGCATGAGAAAAGCCATTGTAGAGAATGTCAAGCAGTTTGGAGTTACTGGAGTATAGAAGTGGAGAAATGGAATGAAGGGAAAAGGGGGAAATTCTGGCAGATCTCAAAGTTTCTATTCGCCAGATCAAAAAGCTCAGATTCTGCTTTGAAGAAAATAGGAAGCCCTGAAGTGTTTTGTTTCAAGGGGTGACATTGTCACATTGGTACTTTAGATGTTCAAGCTGGCATCCTTTGTGAGATACTTTGAGAAGGCTAACATGAGAGAGAAAAGGAAAGCCTTTGTATATTGTTGTGGTAGAACCGTTGAGTTACAATACAGCATGAATGTGGGATAGATATCGGAATGTAGAGAAATGAATGAAATGTGATTATATTTAGAGTATAAACTGGAAAATTTGATTTGACATATGTGCTTTGAAAATAGTCATTAAATATAATTTCTAGGTTTTTTTTCACCCAAGATTCAATGCCAAACCCTCCAACTGAGATTAAGACTAAAATATAGGTAAATTGTATGGAATTCTGAGAAGGAAAACTTTTTTTGTGAGTCAAAAGAATTATGAAAGAAAGAATTGATATTTTAAAAAAAGAATAATCTGTAGAGGAATGATGACATTATTACGGACATAGGGTATATAATATTAGAACAAACACCGGAAGATACCATTTTTAAAATTCAAGAATAGAAAGTAAAAGTGGCTTGAAGTAATAGGAAAGAAGAATGAGGAAGTGATGGAGATGATATTGTCAAGATACACTGGATAGGATTGATGGAGATTTACATACTTGGTTAGGGAGGGCTTATATCTAGTTACTTGTTCTAGAGTATGAATTGTCTAGTAACTAATATTCAGTCTTTGAAAATGTTTAACTTTCAAAAATAATTTTGACATACATATGAATGAATAATGTAAATGTTTCTAGAATTGTTAAGAGATTAAGGATAACCACAATAAATTATCAAATGTATCATTTGCATTCTATATGGCAGGCATTCTATTTGCCATTTGTACAATAAACAGCAAAACAGATAGATTCTTATAAATTAAGGTAAGTTAGTGATAGGCAGTAAACAAGTGAGACAATTTTTATTTATGCACATCAATATCTATCTATGCATATCCATGGGTATAAAAACATAGTTTGTAATAGACATGCAATGCAATGATAGAAACAAGCTGTCATGATAGAGAATAAAAGAGGGAGAATGTACTTTCAGATTCTGGTCGTCAGATCACCCCCTGCGATACATTATTCACTGATTGTCGAGCTAGAAAGGTGTCATCTAAGCTGAACATTAGCGGATAAGTGTTCAGTAACGCAAAGAGTAGAGAGTAAGGTACCCATAAACAGCCATGAGAATATGTGTAAGAGCACTAAAGTGGAAAAGAGCATTGTTTGCTTCAGGAATAGCAAGAAGCTCACTAAGCCTGGAGCACTGAAGATCAGAGTGAAAACGACAAGGTTGGAAG